GGAGAAAATGGATGATGATGATGCAAAAACATTTTGAGGAATGGGGGAAAGGATGGGGGAGAGTTCATACGCGTTGAAAGTATGCTGGATTTGGAGTTACAGGACTTGAATTCAAATCCTGGCTCTGCCACTTACTATTCACGTGGTCTTGGGCAAGTCACTCAAACTCTCTCAGCCTCAGTTTCTCAACTATAAAATGAGTGGACTGTAGTAGATAAGTCTAGAATGTGAACTCCTTGAGGTCAGACACTGTTTCACTTTTCTCTTTGTACCCCCAGGGCCCATCAAAGTACCTGGCACTTAGTAAACATTTGATAAATGCTTTGTAATGAATTGATTGACTAGAAATGCCTTTCATCTCTATACCTACGATCTTATGTCATGGTCTCAATCTTCTCAGTGAAGCAGAATGCTAAGGTGGAGAGGGTTTAGTATTTAGAGAAAAAGAAAGATGATTTTAGTTCTGCTTTCTTTAGCTTGCCATAGGAAAAGACTTGGAACTAGTCACAGCAAAGTGAAAAAAGCCAAGGTGGAAGGGATGGGGGGGGGGAGAGGGTAACCAGAAGCTGGTGTTAGGATCCTGTTTTTCACAACTTGTTCACTTCCTCCGATTTTAAACCCCAAACACAGCTTGCTCAAGGTTATCAGACATCAACTGGGTTTGAAGGCTGAGGAGGAAGAGGAGGAAGGGTTAAGGAGAACATGTGACCCTAGGAACCAGAGTCAAGGGAATGGCCCTAGCCATTTTCTGTTGGCAGCAAACTCCTGTTCTGTACTTGTAAAGAAAGATAGCCCACCTCTGACCTCAAAGCTGATAATGAGGCCCTTATTAGGATGCTTACAGTGGGAATAGAGAAGAATGGGCAGAATAAGGGTAGTGGTTCTTAAAAAGGGAACAGGAAGTTTTGGGAAACATATGCTTCAAAATACCTTCCCATACCCTGGGATTTTCCCATTCATCAGCTTTTGCTCTCAGATGCAGTTTGCATGTTGCTCTTCCTTTCTGCAAGTCCTGAGTAAATAAGGTAAGAAGAAGGTTCAGATGGAAGGAACAGGAAAGGAGAGTTGGAGGAATATCGAATCCAGGTCTGAAGGCCTGATTGAACAGGAGCCCTTCTTTGTTGCTACCTTTGTTGCTACTTTCTTGTGCCTCAGTTTCCCTATGTATGACATAGTATTCTTTTAAGAATTTTTGGATTAAGATTAAGAATTTTTGGATTAAGAACTGAGGAACCTATGGCAATTGTGTCTATAAAATGACACTGTCTATAAATTAGTGACAACCGGATTAGAGGACAAAAGACATTGACTGGTCCACTGTTGTTTGTCTTTGTTCCCTAAGAAGACCTTGGCAACTGGAAGGTGACTTGCAAGTGAATTGGATTTAAGTAAGGGAGGGCTACGCGAAGTCACCGGCCTCACTTTCTGCTCCAGAGCCATCTGGGTCCAGTGGCAAGATACAGATCAGGAGGACTGGAGATGGCCCCTGACTGGTCCACTAAGTTAGTAGGGAAAGTAGTGTTTAAAGGCCCATTTAGGAAGCTCTGCCACATAAGGTCCTTGATTACAAGGATACCTCATTGTTCATCTTTGTATGTCGAGTTCCTTTTTTTATCTTTGTATCTCTAGTGCTCTTACAATAGTTGGCGCTTAATAAATATTTGTTGGCTTGGAAAAAAAGGAATCATTGGATTATAGAGGTGGTTGGAAAGATATTACAGAGGTAGAATCCATAACTGATAACTTGATAATCAATAACTTGGTAACTGATTAGACAGGAATGGTAGAGAAGGAAGAGTCAAGGAAAATAATAACTCAAATTGGATATAACCCTTTAAAAGTTCACAGAGATAACTTCAAGGTTTAGAACATGGGGAAGATAGTACCACAGGTAGAAATGATAAAGTCAGGAAAAAACAGTTTGTGCTTATTATTTAACACAATTAACATTATATAATGGTGTATAACAATATTATATCATGTTGTATTATATAATGTCATATGAGAAAAATTAATAATAATCAGAGACTAGGACACATGGAGTTTAGGGTGTCTGAGGGACATACAGGTAGAGATGTTCCAGAGACCATACGAGAGTGGATCTAGAGCTCAGAAGAGAGATCAGGGCCTGAGATGGATATCTGGGAATTACATAGGTGGTTAAATAAGATTGATCTTTTTTGATTGGGTAAAAGGGAACATTGCCTGGCTAATTTCCTAACTAGCCTTAATCACCGAATGGGTATTACCTCAGTCAAAACGAGAACTCAGTAAGACCTTGGCTTAAAAAGGCCAAGGTTTCCTACTGCATCCTTGGCCATCTCCAGTCGTCTAGATCTATATCTTACCACTGGACCCAGATGGCTCCAGAGGATAAAGTGAGGCTGGTGACCTTGCACAACCCTCCCTCACTTAAATATAATTCACTTGCAAGTCACAGCATCATCTTGCTGATATCATGGTCCTCTTTGAGAATGAAGGACAAACAGGTGGTGAGGTGGTAGTTGAAATTGTGAGTGTGAATGAGATCACTGCAGAATGCTGGTGAGAAGAGCTACTTCCACAGTATTTCTTGTACCTATTGCCTTCTCTATACTCTACCATCTAAGTTCAAGGCCTCAACATCTGTCACTGGGACAACTGTAATAGCTTCCTAATTGGTCTTCTCTCTCCAATACATACTCCAAACAGCTGCCAACATTTCCTAAAGCACAAGTCTGAGTGGGTCAAACTTCCCCATCTCCCTCAATAAATTAAAATAGCTCCCTATTGTCTCTGCGATCAAACACAAAATCCTTTCTTTGGTACTTAAAGTTCTTTACAACCTAGCCTCTTCCTATATGCATTGCCCCTGTCCCCACACTCAGCTGTACCGAGCTGTACAGTTCAGCTATACTAGCTGGTTCTAGGTAGTTAGGTTACTTGCTATTCTACACACAGAACTTCTCACTCAGCACTAGATGTCCCCCATGACAAGAATGCTTTTCCTCCTCCCCTCTACCTCTCGGAGCCCTCAGCTTTATGGATTCCTGACTCAGTTTAGGTAGTACTCTCCCTGAAGACCTTTTCTGATACCATCAGCTGCTAGGCTTTTGAATTCAAGACTGTCCACTTTGTATGTAATTCTTATATAAAGAAAAGTTACTGGGTTTCCACTACCCACAGAGAGCAAAGAGTAGATAACAGGGGTAATGAGGTGTTAATGTGTCAGTAAGATGTTAACACCCAAAGATCTTTAATGAAGTGAGACACCTTTCTCTGACAGAATTAAAGGGAACAATCTCTATGGATGAGGACCCATTTTCAAAGAGCTTTAAACAGGAAGTCATGGGAGAATTAGGCAGTTTTGGAGAGTGAGCACCAGGAACTACCAACAAGGGAAGAGAAGGAAAAGGGAGGGGATTTTTTTCTCTCCCTTCACTCCTACTATTACTATGTCATCTAGTATCAAGTATCTTTGCCTAGAAGGAAATACCTTATCCAACCAGTTTGAGTCAATTTGAGAGACTCTAAGGTACAGTTAAAAGTATAGAACTCTAGATAGGCATAGAGAGACAGTAACAGAGAAGAGAGCCTGAAGAGAGAGCTAGCCATGGAAATCAAAAGTTGAAAGGCATGAGGGCTCTACAAGAAAGAAAGGACATTGGGGTCCAGCAGTACCACATTGTCTATTGTCTTAGCCCCATATTCCCAAATCTTTGTGCCTTACTAGTTAGGTATTAGTAGGTGTGCCCACTTTTCCCAATGACTATGTTTTTGTGAGATAATGGTTTATGCTGGGAATATTTTGTAGCTATTTTTTCCCCCAAACTATGTCTTACTAAATGTCTTGCCAAGCACAAATAGTGCCTAATGGTACACTGTTAAGGGGAGGTCCCCCACCAGTAGGATCTCATGAGCTCTAGTTTTATAAGGGTTGCCACATTAGGTATCCCTTAAAACTTGGGAGAACCAACTACCCTCTGGGAATCCAAGAGAAAGTATAAGCTGATGAGTGACCCCAGCTGAACAGCTACACATATAACGCAGGTTGCCTCCTCTCCTAGAATGTAAGACCTTTGAGGTTGACTGTAGTGTTTTTGTCCCTCTGTAGCACCTAGTAGGCTCTTCATTATCATTGAGAATGGAAACAATAGACCTTACAATATTGCTTCTGCCTCTCTCAGTGGTGATGAGATAATTATTTTAATCAACATCGTGTATGCCTAAACTCCTTTTTTTCTGATCAGAAAGGTTTCAAAGTCCAGGACCCTGAAGAAAGGAGAACATGGTGCTGTTCAGAAACACCACCGAGTGAATGCGAGGAATTCTTCTGCTCGTCTGCACGGCAGGGTAACATCACACATTGTTCTCTTTTGTTCTCCATCATATTCCTTTCTTTCTCCTATTGCCTCTGCCCTTTCCAAGCCCCATCTCTGGGGATCCTGCCCTGTCTTTGTTCCTCTGACTCCCCCCCCCCACTTCTTTCTGTTTTCGGAGTAATCAAATCAAGGAGTAAACTCTACCTCTACACTTTGAAACTTCTTCATTCCCCTCTCCCTCTCTGGGGCCCGGGTCTACACTAAGTACCCCTCACCCAGACTCTCCCTCCCGTGGACTTCTATTGCTGTTTTAGATACCAGATGATGCCTAACCACCTAAAACCTAGGAAAAGAGAAAACTAACGGGCAGATGCTGAAGGCCATGAAGTTGAGCATGCTCCGTCTGGGTGACGAGGAGGAAGTTAAGTAACAATGCTGGAGACCTTAGAGGCTGGAGCCGCTCGCTCAGGCCCATTTAACCATTTAGGAAAGGAGTAACTCCTTTTGCGGGTCCCGATTCCTTCCTCCTGGCCAGTTCCCGTCCCTGGAAGCAGAGGTGGAGCGGAAAGGGCTGGAGGTCGGGCAGGAGTGCAGGGAAAACCCCTGAAGAGGAGGCGGAGTTGCACTGGAGGGAGGAGGAGGAGGAGGCAGGGGCCGGGCTAGTGGGGCTGGGAGCAGAGCGCAGCGGGCGCTGTTTACCTGGTAGCGGCCGGTCAGCAGCTGGCTCCGGGACGGCGTGCACAGGGGCTGCGTGTAGTAGTTTTCCAGACGCACCCCGCCGGCCGCCAGCGCGTCCAGGTGCGGGGTAAAGATACTGGAGCCGTGGTAGCCCACGTCGTTCCAGCCCAGATCGTCCGCGAGCACGAAGACAATATGGGGCTGCCCTGTGGCCCGGGCGCAGGAGCCCGGCAGCTGCAGCAGCTGCAGCAGCAGCTGGCGGAGGAAGAGGAGGGAAAGCAGCGGCCTCTGGCCGCCCTTCGGCACTCCGGCTGCGCTGCCGGGCTCCATCCCTCGCGGCCCAGGCCCTCTTCAGGCTGTGGCTGCTGCCCGGGCCGCGCTCCGACTTAAAACCAGGAACTGGGCAGCTCGGGCCCGCCCCGCCCCCAGGAGAGCCCTCCTCGCGTCCCCCCAGGAGCGGGAGGGGGCGGCCCCCACCTTGATGAGGCGGGGGCGGGGGGAGGCCCCACCCCCATGCCAAGTTCTTCTCTAAGGATCAAGCCCAAGCCATCTAACCATTCTGGGGGATCTGGCTCAGCTAATTAGTACCTGCATGACTCCGAGGTCATAGAACTGGAATTTCACTTGGCTAATCTAATCTGCCCATTTTGTAGATGAGGCCACTGTGGCCCAGAGAGCTGAAATGAATTGTCCAAGTGGTCAAATCCACTTTTCCCACTACCCCAGGCTGTCTGAGGCTCGGTTTTCATATTCACTTCAATAAATATTAAGCAACCACTATGGGCGAGGCCACGTGCTAGGTACTGAGGTATGCAAAGACAAAAGAGGGGGTTGGACTCTTCTGGCTCAAAGGCTCCATGAACCGATGATTTCTTCATAAGCAGGTTACTTGTAATGGAGAGTGATTTTTTTTTAATCCCAGACAAACACCAAATAACATTTCCATATATGTAATAGAACATAACGAGAATTGCCCAAGAAACTGGATATATTAATTACAGATTGCTTTTCTTTTAAAATGTATAGTAATTTCAACATGCAATTTTCAAAGCTGTCCTGCTTGAATGTGATTCTTTCTAGCCTTCTGTTCTCTTCTGTGATTAAAAAAAATGCTTCAATGACCTTCTTCTCTTTTTGTTTCCTTTCTTTGTGTGCTTTTTCGGGGGACTACCTTACTCCCAAGCCCTCCTCTTCTACTCCCAAACATACAGTGTAGTTAAAACAAATTCCTACATTGGTTATGGGGTCTTGAGTATCACCACTCTGTAAGAAGTCTGCTTCATCATCAGTCCTCTGGAATCAAGGTTGGCCATTGCATCAATCAGAGTTCTTAAGTCTTTAAAAGGTTTGTTTGTTTGTTTTAATTTTTATAATATTGTAATTATCATTTAGTTTGTTTTTCTGGTTCTACTCACTTCACAATCCACAGAGTCCAGGTTTCTCTGAAAATGTCTTTTTCATCATTTCTTACTACACAATCATATTCCATTTCATTCATATAATGTAATTTGTTCAACCATTCCTCAATTGATAGGCACCCCTGTAGTTTCCAGTTCTTTTACTGTAATAAAAAGAGCTGCTATAAATAAAGGCAATTAATTCTAATCATTGTTTATATTTATGTGGCAATTTACAGTTACAAAATAATTTACATTATATTTCATCTTTCCAACAACACAGAAAGGAGTAGATAACCCTATTTTACAGATTGTAGGTTTAAGGGTATCTTAGAAATTATGTAGTTTAGTCCCTTCATTTTATAGCTGAGGGGACTGAGGCTCCACAGTTGTTAAGTGATTTGCCCAAACTCACAAAGATAAGATTCAAACCCAAATAGTGTGACCCCAAATCTAGCCCTCTTTCCATTGCACCACATTTTTCATCCCTTGATCAAGACCAGGGAAAGTGTCCACTGTCTACTGTTATAAGCATGTCTTACACAGCCTTCTAGTTATAAGTATGTCTGAATTGAGCAACTGGGGTCCTTGGACACCAGATAGATCCTGTCATCAGGACCACTCTTGATGCCTTTCTAGCTGGTCTGAAGCTGCCAGGGTTTGTGTCCTATTGGTACCACACACCAAGATAAGGTGCTGGAGTAAGATTATGTGAAGAATAGTGTCATGGAGGATACTCTGTGTAATACCCAACTAGAAGAGGGAATCCAGTCAAGGTTCTATAGATGCAACTGTTTGCAGATGGCATTATGCTTATTACACAAGGCCCTGGGACACTAGAGGGCTATCTCAGTGAGATATATGGACATTCAAAGGGGCTCAGCCTAGTCATCTATAACGGAAAAATAGAGTGGATGAAAAAAATGCCTTACCAATATAATACCTTACCTATGGCATGTTCCCAGATCACCCAAGATAAAGTCATCTACATGAGTGGAACTAGAACCTTGTTTTGGGAGACAGAACTGGTATGTATATATAGACATTCTGTGATGGTCTACCATATTGAAATTAGGCCCTTTCCATTGGATACATAGCTGGAACTGTCTGAAGCTTTAAAACTACCTGACTAAAGCAGCTGCTCTTTTCCAACATTCTGATCTTGGGTAAGTCCATACCTTTCTTGTCCATCAGAATATTACAATAAACTTTCTCAAATATCTTGATGAAATGCAGATACAGTGCCCACAAAATTCTTCTGACCAAATAACCCAGGGGAAAAAAATGAAATCTAGCAGAATGAACCCATGCTAATGAACCATGTTAATGAACCCATGCTGCCTCTTAGTGATCACCGCCTCCTTAAGGGCTCATTTTGTTATTTGGTCAATTAGTCATGTCCGACTCATTGTGAGCCCATTTAGGGCTTTCTTAGCAGAGATACTGGAATTGTTTGCCATTTTCTTCTCCACCTCATTTTACAGATGATGAAACTGAGACATGCCCAGGGTCACACAGCTAGTAAGTGTCTGAGACCAGATTTGAACTGAGGTCCTCCTGACTCTAAGGACCCCATTCTATCCACTGTGCAATATAGCTGCCCTAAGTGTTCATATGCCTTCCATTTAATAGTCATTTCTAGAATCTTTCCTGACTTGAAATCAAGCTCACCAACCTAAAATCTAAAATTACACCTTTCCCATTCACCACAATTCCTAAAAATCTTGGCTGGCTGGTCAGGAGTATAGTTTTTCCAGACCTGGTGACTTGAATTCATTGGTGGCAGTTAACTACTCTTTTAACATCATGCTTATCTGATCTTTCTTACTATCTCTCATATCACTTGTGTCTCTCCAATGTACTTCACACGTTAGTTAACATTATGGTTACTTGCATTTTTGACTTATCCCTTCTATAAAAATGACCAGTTTCTTGAAATCAAGCACTCCATGTTATTTCATCTTTCTTTCCTCTGTGCCTAGCGCAATGCATTAATTAGGACTCATGTTTGTTGAACGGAATTGAATTATCCTGGATTTTAATGTGCAGTTAATCATTGTCTCAGCCCTCTGACCCACTGTACAGACACTAGTACATTTGAGAATCCTCTGCAAGGAAGAGACAAACAGATTGTCCTCATGAGCAGTAGAGGAACAGGAACTAGGCCTGTGCCTTCACTGGTATGAGAAAACTCTATCTGCCAATGCAATTCAGTACCTGCTCTGCAACTTACATTCTTAGAGACTTGTCTACAGTAACAAGACATTCAGTGGCTTACGCAGAGTCACACACTCAGTATGTGTCAGAGGCAGGATCTGAACCCAGGTCTTCCTGGTTCCGGAGATAGCTCTCTATCTGTTACTATAACTATATGTAAGGTAATTGTTGCCACTGACTCAGAGACAGTAAAAGAAATCTTAGCCGTCCTCTTAGCAAAATCACTTTTGGACTTTGCTACTACTTCTCTAGGCAGCTAGTGGTACAATGGATAGATTGCTGGGCCTGGAGTCTCAAAGACTCAACTTCCTGAGTTCAGATACGGCCTCAGATACTAGCCATGTGACCCTGGGCAAGTCACTTAACATTAAACACATTGGGTACTTAATATGAACTTGTTGAATTGAATCAAGTTAAGTAATTCTGATGAATTGTTTTAGCAAGTTACATTTGGCTTAAGAAATGACCTTTGAAGGGGCAGCTAGGTGCCGCAGTCAGGAGGACCTGAGTTCAAATCCAGACTCAGACCAAACACTTGACATTTGCTAGCTGTGTAACCCTGGGCAAGTCATGTAACCCCAGTTGCCTAAAAAAAATGACCTTTGAAAAATGTATTTGCAGGATGATATGGATTTAGCTAATCTGGGGAAACAGAATATGAAATTATAGCCTTGAAAGTTAGAAGAGACTCTGAAGCTGGACATCTATTTCAACTCCCTCACTTTACCAATGAGTGAACTGAGGCCAGGGAAAGGGGTGAAGTGATTTCACCAAGGTCACATAGGAAACAGGTAGCAGAGCTGGAATTTGAACACTGATAATCTGGCTCCAGATTGAGAGCTTTGTCCACTCCCTCCCAGTGAAGAAAAGAGCAGGGATTGTTTCATTCTTTGTATTTATATCTCCAATATCTAATATTGTGCCTGACATATAGTAGGCTCTTAATAAATACTTGTTGATAGAGTGAGCCTCTAAAAATGTCTTATACAAATGGACATTTCAAAACCATCTATGAAAATAGTTATAAAATAAACATTATTAGTGAGATCGTAGATCTAGAGCTGGAAGGGACCTCAGAGATTATCTCGTCCACCCTCCTTATTTTACAAATGGGGAAACTGAGGCCCAGAGAGGTTAAATATCTTGTCCAAGATCACGAAGGTTAGCAAGGGATTAGAAACCCAGATAACCCTTACTACAAAGCCAGCACACTTTCCACTTTTATTGGATAATGTCTTAATCTTTTAAAAAAAAAAGTTGTAGTAAATTTATCCCTCCAGCAAATTTTGTGAATTGTAGCTTTATTGTTAATAAATATTTATATTTATATGAACAATGATCAATTAAACATAAAACAAGAGGCAAAATCTTACCCTAAAACCTTGGCCTTTAATGAAGTACAGCTAGTGGATTAAAGCAGATTTTATAGGCAGGAAAAATAGAAAATGAGGGACAGTATGGCTAATTCTCAGAACCAGTTAGCGGGTATGTGACATTGGTTGCTCTTTAATGACATCTGTCTTTGGACTGTTTTAATTAGTTTGAAATTTTAAGATTTCAGCTGAGTACTTGATTTATAAATGAGCTCTGTCTCAGATGTTCACTTGTAACATGGTTGTTTAGGTCTCAGAATACATTTTCCTTCTAAAAAAATAATGTTCTAAATTGTGGTTAAAAAGTAGATTTCTCCTCGACTAAACAAGTTGTGATACATAAGAATAATGGAATATACTGTGTTAAAAGAAATAATGGATATGATGAATAGAGAAAAGCATGGAAAGACTTCTATCAACTGAGGCATAATGAAATAAGAAGCAGGAAAATCATACGCATGGTGACCATAAGCAATTGAAACTGAATATTGCAAAAATCATTATGACTGAGGTTGGCCCCAAAGAAGAGATACAAGAAGCTACCTTACCCAGGCTCTTTGCAGAGGTAAGGGGGAATAAGAGTGTAGAATACTACATATATGACTTCTGACTTTTTTGATATGTTCATTAGTTTTGCTGGACTGTTTTCTCCCTGTTTGTTTTATTCTTTGTTATAAGGAAATACTCTTTAAGATGGAAGAGAGAAAGACTTCCAGGAGCTAAGATGGCAGGGTAAGCAGTAAGTCACTGTCACCCTCCCACATTGGCCTCTAAAAAAACCAAAAAATAGTGCCCCAGGAAAAATCTTGGAGCAGTAAAGCCAGCAAGAGGATGGGGTGAAGTAGTCTCTTGGCCTGGGAGACCTGGATGATCACCAGGAAAGGTCTGTTCTGCTTCTGCTAGGGTGAAGGGGGAGTGCATTCCAGGGAGAGGTGTCCCAGCAAGCAGGTGGTGACCCCCACCTCAGCAAACCAGTGGAAGATCCTGAGCCCCAGGGTGGTGAAGCAGGCAGGCACCAGCACCAGGACCCCCGACGTGCTTTAGCATAGCCAGGAGAACCAGCAGACTCCAGCTCAGAGAACCACCATGTGGGCTGGTGCAGCCCTGGCAGGCAGGCATCCTTCAGCAGCAGACCTCCCTGCACTCTGATGCAGCCCCAGGTGGGGAGGCATCCTCCAGCAGTAGATCTTCACATGCTTCAGCACAGCCCAGGGTGGGCAGGCATTCTCCAGCAACCAGACCTCCACATGCTTCAGTGTAACCCCGGGAAAACACAGGAAAAACCCCACCTGGCCTCAGCACACGCCAGATGCCACCACTAGGACCCCAACTCAGCACCAAGCAAGCTGACAGACAGACCCCTACAGCCCCCAGCTGCCAGCACCTAAAGCCCCAGCACACAAAGCCAGTGACCAGGCTCCTGGACCCCAGTGCAAGAAGCTTGAAACAGTGCCCCCTGTGCCCCAGAAGCAGAGCTCAACCTTAAAAGCCAGGAAATAGGCAAACAAGATGAGTAAAAAGCAAAAATGAACAACAACCATTGACACTTTTTATGGGGACAGGGAAGATCAAAG